TTAGGGGGTTAGATATAAAATTGTGTGGGCAGTTCAAACTCGTGGGAGTTTAAATTAAACTGTGTTGGCAGTTCAGTCCGGAGGGTGTTAAAGTCCCCAGAGTATAAATCAAGCGATTCTCAAGAGACGTGAGGACTCTGTCACTGGATGACTGGATTTAATGGCTGTCACCTCCTTGTCGAGGACACCCTGGTGATCCTGGGAAATGAAGTGCAACGGTACTGGTTTCAGAGCACCATTTTACACTTCCAATTAATGTTTTCTGAACCTGTCATGAGTTTTAGTAGACGATTTAGGCAAGAAAAGAACAAGTTGCTTGCCGGTGTGTACAACATTCTTTGTCAGATGACCAAACACAGTGTGTCGAGTACGCAAATGACATATCAGAATGTGTAACAGAAATAAACTTTTCTTAAATTTGCAGATGAAACATGGGTTGTCCGCTGTGATCCCACAACTAAACGATAAAGGGCTTAGTGAAAGTCATCATCATCAGCACAAGGCACAAATATTAGTCTTTAAAAGTCGAACGGGAAGACAATGTTGGTGTGCTTCGAAGACAGCAAAGGAGTTATTTACAAAGAATTTATTCCAGAGGGACAGACTGTCACAGGCACAGTTTATTCAAGTATTTTGAAACGTCTGTTGAAATGGATTCTTAGAGTCCGACCCAACTATTCAACACCTGGCAGTTTTTCTTTTCCTTATGACAATGCACCGGCTCACAGGGCGGCGGCTGTACAGGAATTGTTGACCCCCCAAAACAAGTGTGTGTTCTCAACCATCCACTCTATTTCTCAGATTTGTCTTTTTGTGATTATTTTCTTTTCCCAAAATTGAAGTTACCATTGAAAGTACGTTTTTGTGACGATATTGACGACATCAAAAGGGTCGTAACATCGACTTCAAAGGCCACAACAACAAAAGAACTACAGAGGCCATTCCAATGTTTGTTAGATCGTGCCAATTGCTGTATCAATGCACTTTGAATCAGATAAGGTTATATCTTCAAATGTTGATTATTTTAATCTTTATAAAATTAGTCTCATTGCTTAATCGTCGGACCTTGTACATGCAACTCTGGTACGGCAACTCTGGTACGGCAACTCTGGCCCCTAAATGGCATTCTCTAACTGTAATTCTTGCAGCTACTGGAATTTGCGAGTAGCGACGTCTCTGTGGGATGTTTTTCTCACGCCTCCATGTGGCACAATATGTTCGTACAGTTTATGTCTCTGGAAAGACGGACAAATATCAACAACCACAACAACCCTGATCAAAGCTTTGATTTTGTATTGTCTGTTCCCGACTGAAGAGATACAAATAAAAGAAATTCGCTAATCTAGCAGCATATCACGATTTTACTGAATAAGCAATTATGTGGCTGCTTTTACCACTCTCAGTGTCAATTGGAAGAAGTGTAAATTATGTAGCAATCCTCTTATTTTTAAAGACTGTTATTATTTAATTTTTACTGAAAAGAGGCCAAAAAAAAGGGATGGATTTAAAGGCTGTTGGGGAGGGGGGGGGGGTGGATGGGGGTTGATAAAGCAACAGATTCAAGATCTTACTGGCCAAACAATATTATCTGAACGGTTTTTATGTGTGTGAAATTGTACATCGATACATACATATTTGCCTAAATTTTCATTGATTTCTTTTAACGCCTTGGTGCAGCAACAGAATCAATATATTAATGGCGAATCAATAATGAAACCGTCTTTACATTTTCAGTGTAATTTATACATCAGTAAACACTCACACACACAGAGACACACACACACACATGTATATATGTATATATATATATATATATATATATATATATATATATATATATATATATATATATATATATATATATATATATATATATATATATATATATATATATATATATATATATATATATATATATAAATATATGTGTGTGTGTGTACATATATATATACATCTCACACGATTCCATATTTTTTTTTTAACTAAGAGAGTCAAACACAGAAAAGAATGCATGGCTGTGGCAGCAGATCCAAGGTCGTATTGGCGAAGCAAGAATGGCACAGCGACCTTGGATACTTACAAAGCTGACATAGCGAGGATGGGTGTCGCTCTTGGGTGAGTTGTTTAGACACTGGTATGTGTTTACGCTGCTTATGTCTACGTGTAGTCAGTAATCGTCACTATTCTGCAGTGCAACATTTCATTTGTGTGTTTACATGCTTGCATGAAAATGCATATGCTGTTTGTTTCGACATTGGGAATAATTTTCTGAACTCCCTTATTTCTTCAACATTTTGTTCTAGCTGCCCAGGATAGTGGAGAGCAAAAGCTCAGTAGAACAAACAGAAGTAATATTACTTACACTGAACATGCACATTAGATCACACGATGAGAATATCAGCACAATGTCCCAAACTCGGTCGGTAGTGCGGGGATGAAACACATTTTTACATACTGATACTCATTTTTACATACTGGAATCAAACGTTATAGTATCTATTTGTGCGGATGTGTGCTTGCACCTGCGGGAGGCGAGGGGAAACAGAGAGATAGACAGAAACTGCCAAAGTTGATGTCTTCGACTCTGTCACAGTCCAGTCCTTGACAAACCTGGGTTTAAATTTTAGTCGTTTTGATTGTTTTTGGACCTGGTAGACAGGTAGATAAATTTGATTCCTTACCACATTATCGAAAAAAAAAAACACTTGCATGAAAGTTAAATGTTTATTGATGAGTTTTTGCAGTAGGCATGCTACCACGGCCAGCTTCTTTAATTTTCCGTATGCAAACTTTGTTAAAATACTTTGCACTGAAAATCAGTGGTCACTTAGGCAGGTGACCTTTATCAAAACTCTGTAATAACTAGCTTGGACATAGATGACAGGTGCTTACTCAGTCTGCTGGTCAGTTTTTCCATGAAGACTAGATTGTTGCTCCGGGGACACATTTCTCCTCTGCTTCTGGCTGACAATTCTAGCGTAAAGTTGTGCAGCTTCACCCAGTTGTGGTCTTTTGTCTTCTTCCGGTACTTGTGTTACAGTTCTGGATTATTTATACACAGACGAATGGCTCATTACCTCCAAAGATGATCTCTCGTAGAAAAACAGAACTGCTCTCCATGGTGGGGATAGAAAAGGGGAGTGGTAGGGAAGTAAAGGGGATGCTCAGCCTCGTTCCACATTTTCTAACGGGAACTCAAGTGGTCCAGGTCTTGATTAGGCGATTAATATCATTATAATTATTATTTTTATAATCATAATTACTATTAATATAATAATAAGAATTATTATTACTATTATTATTATTATTTTTATTATTATTGTGTGCATTATGTCAAATGGCAATGGTGGAGGGTAGGGGGAGGGAGGTGGTTGGCCGTCGTGATGTAGTGGAGCGGATTTTCTCTCTCTAAAAAGTGACCGCTGCTCCCAGGTTGCCCCAACCTTATATGGGTACCAGGCACAGTTCTGTGAAGTTGAGGCGGCCGGCGTAATGTGGACCATATCACCCACCGATTGCCGATTGGACTATAAAATATATGTCTAACCCTATATGTCCCAAACACCTAAAGACGGGGAAAAGGGTCCTTTACTTGCTTTTCTATAATTGCAGATACAGATTATATATGAAATACTATTGAGCAATGCTATCAATAAAAGACATTAAAGAAAGGAACTTCTATAGATATTTGTGGAACATCTTAGCTCATTAACCAATTTTTTTTTTCTAAAGTGAAAGTGCAGAGCACCTCTTAAGATTTGTTGGGAGAAAAAGGAGAAGGTGGAGGAAGGGCTTGGGTTCAAGTTACCTAAGTACCCGGGCTCCCACCTCCTGACCTTTAGCTATAATTTGCGTTATAACACGTTCTGTCCGCATGCAGAAAAGCCCTAAGTCAAGGCCGATACACCTGGCGCCACAACAAGGTGCTAAAGGAGTTGGCAGTTGTTGTGGACCAGGCTAGGATGCGGGCCAATGCTAGGGCCAGTCCTACCGTCGTCCCCATACGCTTCCTCAAGGCTGGGCAGATTCAAAAAGTAAAATCAAGAAAGGCGCATTCGCTCCATCTATGCTAGACTCTGCGAGAAACTGGTTACTGGCGGTTGATCTGCCAGACCATGAAAGGTACCCTGAGTCAATTCGGAAGAGCAGCCTGCGACCTGACAAAGTTCTCCACTCTGCGGAGAAACGGCAGCTCATCCTGATTGAGCTGACCGTCCCGTATGAGTCGCGAATAGACGAAAGCCACATGTATAAGCTCGAGAAATACAGTGACTTAGCAGCCGATCTGAGGAGAGACGAAGCGTAAACATTACGAGTCTTTGCAGTCGAAGTGGGCGCGAGAGGTCTCGTTTCCACTTCACTCTACAATGTGGTTAAAGAACTAGGATTGCGCGGTAATGAACGCAAACGGACACTTAAACAGCTGGGCGAGGTTGCTGAGAGGGCCTCGAGCTGGCTTTGGACACAACGAAACAACGTAGGGGACTGGCCTCGGTGAGCTGGTCCGGGTGTCTAGCGGAAGAGAATTTCTCTTCCCTTGAAAGTCCATCGTGTCCGAATTGTCTGCCAGTGTTCCTCTGCCACCTGCTAACAAAGTCCAACATGTGTCCGGTAAACCAATCGTAAGCTTGCCGCTCGGTCATTCAGGTATGCAGACTGCTTTAATTATGCTACCGCGACGACTTCTTATCTCACAGTACCTTCTGCAAAATCACCAATTCGTCTTGTCCCTATCCGAACAACATCCGGTAATTTCGTGCAGCAGAGGAAACCAACCCTGAGCCTCATGAACTCAGGTAGGCCCACTCTCTGAAAATGTCTAAGAGCTCGTGGGCCGAAACATTTGTCGACGAGAGATTACTTCTGCTGACGATTGGTAGACCCCTGCTGTACATGCTCCCCTGTGGAGTTTTATCTTATTCTTATACTCCATGTCAATATTGTCCGTTTTCGTTCGTCATCATCCATGATAAATCATTAATGTGTCGTTCCTATGACAGGTGTGGTATGATGTACCCAGAATTCTTTTGTCAACGAGTCCTACCTACGTACTACCCTCTGGAAAAAGTGTACCTCTCAGAGCCACCTCTGGTAGACATCAACAGTGTCACCAATGAAAGCATGTCAGTGGTTTCAGCTTTCAATTCAAGGTTTGTTAATGATAAATGCTAAATGTAGAATAGCAATGGCAGAATTTCGCATAAATAATGAATATTCTCTTTAATCTGTTCCTGTAAGTTGAATTGAACAAGACATTTCTTAAGAGCTTTTCAAATTATATCCTGGTGTACGGAAGTGAATCATTGAAAGTTGACCAATTACAGAAGCATTATTTAGAAGCGAGCAGCTTAGATGTGGATTTATGGACGAATGATGGAAGTACCTTTATCATCATCATCATCATCTTTATCATCATCATTATCATCATCTTTAACATCTTCATCACATTTTCATCATCTTCATCATCATCATCATGTGCTGTACCGGTTAGGGTAGGCTGTCATGTTTCAACAAACTTTAAAAAAAAAAAAAAAACACGCTTGCTCTTTCCATTAATATTGCCAGTTACTAAGTTCACAAATCCATTCTTTCGCAGAATACGTCCAAACAATATCGACTGTCTATGTCTGATTGTTCTAACAAATTTACGACTGTCATCTGTCTCGATAAGGACTGCCTCGATTGTTGTTCTATCTTTCCATGAGATTCTTTGCATTTTTCTCAGAGGCAACATGTCTGCCGCAACCGCGAGTAAATGTTTTTCAGCGTGTCTGCTTAAATGTCCATGTAAGGCATGTAAGGTACAACAACACAGGGTCTACATAATACTGTAACACTCTTTTTCTCACTGCCAGTGACAACTTCTTATTGGTGATAATCTTTTCCATCTTGCTAAAGGCCGCCTTTGCCATGACAATTGTTGTTCTAATTTCTGTAAGGCATCTTGCGTCAGGTGTTGTGTTTGTTTTCTTGCGTATCCTTTACAGGACAGTGCAGAACAAACCCCAGCATTATTTGACTGTTATGGTTTTTCGTGGCAAATTTACGTCTAGTAATTTGTAATTGCTTTATGGACGGTCGGCTTCTCGATACCACAGTCGAAACCAACGCAAGGCACAAGGCCCGCAGCTGGGATTAAACCCGCCCACCCTTGCATTACGAAGCGGGTTCGCAACACCTAATCCACAGAGACAAACTAACTGACGACAGATGTTATGATTGTTCCTAAATAGTTGTATATGTTGTCTTGCTGAAGAATTTTGCCGTTTCCCTGCATTTGACACTGGTATGTCTTTCTTCTTGTTGATGTTCTTAATTTTATTCTTCTTTTTTTTATCCTTACTATTTAACTCTAAGCATAGGTTCTGTTTTAAAATTATTACTGCATTCACTAAACATTGTAAATCTTCCTCATTGTCTGCATTAACACCGTATCATCTTCACTAAACATTGTAAATCTTCCTCATTGTCTGCATTAACACCGTATCATCTTCTCTAAACATTGCATATCTTCCTCGTTGTCTACATTAACACCGAACCATCTTCCCTAAACATTGCATATCTTCCTCATTGTCTGCATTGATACCGTACCATCTTCACTAAACATTGCATATCTTCCTCATTGTCTGCATTGATACCGTATCATCTTCACTAAACATTTCATATTTTCCTTATTATCTGCGCGAACACCGTACCATCTTCACTAAATATTGCATATCATTATTGTCTGCATTAACACCGTTTCATCTGCATATCTTGTATTGATACATCCTCCCACGTAAATTCCCCTCACTTCTTTCAAATGTAGTATACTACTTTCACTTTATAAGGAAAAAAAATCTGGAAAAATTACACACTTCAGTCTCCCACTTCTCTTAACTGGTTGGTACAGACCTATTTCATTATCGATTCTTATAGCAGCCTGTTATTTCCAGTATATTTTCTTAATCAGTTTTGGGTCGGTCAATCAGTTTGTGGATTTGTAAGCATTTTTTCATGTCGACGGGTCTTACTTATTAAAACCGTGTGTATAAACAATAACACAGAAAGAAGACCTTTATTTACTTCTTCTGTGTGTTTAATTTTTTTTTTAAAGACAGATAAAATAAGTAATGACAATGTCATCATCGAAACTGACTCACGAAGAGAACTGATTGCTCACTTTAGAAGGAGACAGTCTACATTCTTTGATCCTACCATGAGAAGGAGAAAACTCGATACATCGTGGGTGGGAAAGTTTGAGGAAAAAAGATGTAGAGGTAGACAGAGAGACAGAAAGAGACAGACAGAGAGAAAGAGACAGAGAGAGAGAGAGAGAGAGAGAGAGAGAGAGAGAGAGAGAGAGAGAGAGAGAGAGAGAGAGAGAGAGAGAGAGAGAGAGGGAAAGCCAGAAAAGATGCTGGACAGTTTGACATCATGGCATGGGAGATTATCTGTGTCAGAAATGATTACAAGTACACGAGACAGAAGGTTGTGGATAGACATGATCACTACCACCAGCCGGCATGGACTAAAGGAAGAAGTAGACTGGGGAATTTCTGGAAGTTATTGGTAGCAATGTCTAACAAGGAAATTTGTAAAAACAAATTAATGAATTACTGCAACGTTAGACTACCCAACATGTAAATAACCTACGTTATGCCAACGACACTTTCTTCGTAGCAATAATTCAGACAGAACTCCATGAACCGATGACTACTTGAAATATAATAACTGTCAAAAGCAATTAAACTAATTATGAAAGAATTACGATGGAAATAGACCTACCTATATTTTATTTGTATTCTTTATTTATGAGTGTAATAATAGGAACTGTATGCCTCTTTAATGTAAATTATTCTTCTTTTTGAATAAATCAGTTCAGAGTTTAAAGTCGGTGATATTGTAGCGTTCAAGATAGAAGTAAAGGACAGCAGAGGGAGTCGGAAACTGAAGGGAGGAGATCACATTAGGGCATGGTTAGTGGATGAATCTACCCAATCAAGAATGGCTGCCAAAGTCACCGATTTCAATAATGGAACTTATATGGCTAGTGCACCTCTTCTGTTCCAAGGGAAGCTAAGGTATTTCTTTTTATTAAAATTTCATAAAGTGTGTTAGTTGTGTGTGCAGTTGTTTGTTTTACACGAGGTGTATGTTGTAGTTTTGTGTGTCCACACATGTGTATCTGAGGTGTATGCATATGTTTATTTGTTCGTTTTGTATGTAGAGAAATGTATACCGTAGGTATGTGAACCTTGTTGTATGTTTCTGTTGTGTGTAGCCTGGTTTATATACGATGTGTATGAGCCATTTCTGTGTGCTGGGACATATATTGCTGACATCTTTCCATCTCTCCAGACGATAATGTTGTACAGTGCTATGGACATCAAAGCTCGTGTAATAACCTCCTCGAGCTAAGACAAGTCTGTCACAATTAGAGCAAGGGATTTCAAGACCCTTTTGCCCCGGCATATAATTAATAGGCTTCTTCTTAAACGCTAAGCTCTTGACCTATATGCGCAGTCACTTTCTCCTCTATATTTGATACCTTGCCTCACCACCGCCACCCACTTTTTTTCCCTCTGCGTGTCGCGGCATTGTGTTCTCAGGAATACCCCCAAAGGCGTATTGTTCTTGTCCCGCTTGTACGCATCTTTGAATCGTAGTAGAGGTAAGCCTCGACATTGTCTACCCATTTGTAATTGTAATTGCGAGAGACATTTATACCAGAGGTGAATACACCTCGTTGTATGTTAAGATTACAATAACATTTTCGTTAATACGAACTAACTTAGGGTGAACAACTAGTTAACACAAACAAAAAGTTGGTCCCAGCAGTTATGTATTGTTTTTAATGCAGATACTTATCATCGGTCACAACGAATTAATTGTTGTGACCCAAGGCACTGATATTTCGGTCTCTTTTAATAAGTGTCAGTGAGGCATTACTGTTTATGTAGAGATATTATTGCCAGAAGTTGTTATTCCCATTGAATGTTAATTTTTTTTTTTTTCTGTCTTAGTTCAAACAAGAAATGTGTGGGCTTTTTTTCTAGGAAGCACATAGTTTACGCAGTCACTATTCACACACACAGAAAAGGGGGGGGGGGGAGAGAGAGAGAGAGAGAGAGAGAGAGAGAGAGAGAGAGAGGGAGAGAGAGAGAGAGAGAGAGAGAGAGAGATGATAAGCGTGCGATACAGAGGGTAATGAGAATGATAGGACTTAGTGTGAGAGAGTGTGTCGTTGGATAAAGACAGTGAAAGAGTTTAAGTGTGTGTTTGATAGAGAAAAAAAAAGGCCTTGAGAGGGTTAAAAAAAAGTGAAAGTACATAAGAATACAAGAAATTGAGAATGACAGACATGCGACGAGTGCCCGCGAAAGAGACATAAGAAGAGAGAAAGAGAGAGCTAGGGAGCCATAGGACCAGAGACAGAGAATCAAAGACATAAAGATGAAGATATAGATACACATATATTTAGTACTTGTCTTTCAACAACAGACTGTATGCAGCACTTGCATACTCCAGAGAGTATATCAGAGCGCTGCTGTACACCCACCAAGTGATCAAATCATACCGCCATATTGCTGCTTTGTTTTCAAACACACGTGTAAGTTGTTACAAATATATAGTATAAGCATTCATAGTAAGTTGACATCTGTGGCTTAGGTGTTGCGAACGGGCTTCGTAATGCCAGGATGCCGGGTTCGATCCCAGCTGCTGGACCTGCGCCTTGCGTTTGTTTTGAGAAGCCGACCGTCCAAAAAGCAATGACAAACTACTGGACGTAAATTTGCCTAAAAAAAACCACAACAGCCAAAAATGCTGGGGGTTGGTTCTGCAACGTCCTGTAAAGGATACCCAAATTAACTTTATTCATAATAAGCACACAGACTGTGAGAAATCTGGAGAGGGGGGAAAAACTTGTTTCCGAGGCCTGCAAAGAATGTCATAGATATGGAAACAGCCGAGGTAATTCTTCGTAAAACAGTAAACTAAGTAGAGAAACTTAGGTTGTTAAGATTTTCTTAGTGTATCGTAAGAGGAGAAAGAAACTTCAAAGTAATGGCTGTGACAACTGACACATTTGATAGAGAACGGGGAGCTGAGAGACAGAGAATCGACATGATGGATGGCGTAGCTATTTATCACTGTCAGAACATGAACGCATATTTTATTTGAGACTTGTGGTCGTGTGGGTGGCTAGTAAAGGGCCCGTTTTTACGCCATAGTCGGATCGGACATAAAATGCCAGGCTCATTTGTGTGTGTAGTTAACAATAGCTGAAAAAATTAGAATGTCCTCTCTACCAGGCAAATTTGAATTACGAAAGGGCTTCAAATGAATACCTTAAAAGTTCGATAGAAATGACAGCAAACATGTCATTGTCTTGTAACCTGTCTGTATTGTTGTTACGGATGTCAAGAGCCATAAGTATCAGACATTACGGTGCAGACGAACATGGTGACGACATAATGACATCCACCCAAGTGGAGCAGCATTGTTATCCTTATTTCTTTTTCTTTTTTAATCAGTGTCAGAGCGAAACCTAAAAACATTCTTCGCCGAACGAAAGTTCAGTATGGTGATGCAAGCTGCTGTTAGTCCAGCAAGCAAGTGTATAAGTGGAAAAGGAAGTTTAAAAAAAGGAGTGACTTTTGAAACAGACTGTCTACAACCAGGTCAGGTTGGGACCCCACAGTCGATTGAAGCCATTGAAGACTTCCTAAAGGAAAATCATCGATTGTCATTGCCGCAAGTGTTGACATTCGTCAATGTTCAGCACACTACATTATCCATGATGTGCTACAGTACCGTAAGGTGTCCGCAACAAGATGGGTGCCACGGAAGCTTACACCAGAACTGAAACAACGACGCATTAATGCTTGTCAAGAAATTTTGTGGGGCTTTGAAGCCCAGAGTTATATTTATTCCGACCCAACATGGAAACCAATTTTTGTTTTCATTGTAAAGCCCCACCCCGCAGCCCTTGGGGGCCCTAATATAACCTAACGGTTAAAAAAAAAAAGATTTCTGGGACTTGCGCCTAGGGGATTCTGATCCGAATGGTGGCACTTTATGTTAACTCGCTCATTGAGCGGCTCTTGTGAGGTTGAACGTCACCCACTGACACACAGTGATGCTTTTCAATCAAGAATTATTACTGGAGATGAAACATATGTTCACTGCCAGTACATCGAAACGAAGACAGCGCATGAAATGGCGCCATACTTACCATAGTATTGCACGCATCCATCCACAGGTTAGGTTATGCTGACTCTTCTGGGATAAACGAGACGTCATCTTAGAGCATTACATGCCAAGAGGGGGAAACTGTCACAGTGATACACATAAATATGTTCGCAGGAGTCATCTTCGACCCGCATTCAAATCCAAACGACTCGGACTTCTGAGCAATTGTATCCTTTTGCAACATGGCAATGCTGCACCCCAAAGTGACGGTGCAACTGTTGACACCACTGAAAACGCTCACTTGTTGTGTGTACTAAATGACGCATACTCGCCAGACGTAGCTCCCAAGCGATTACCACCCGTTTGGACAACCCAAAGAGTCAATATAAGGCAGCACTTTTCGGTTCAATGAAGAGGTACTACAGATAGCGCATTATTGGTTACACATGTCACCAAGTTTATTTTTGTTCCTACAGGAATCGAAGCACTTTATCGGCACTGAACGCAACGGTGACTAAAGTGATAAATATTTTCTTTACATTTTCAGAATATATTCCCACACATACACAACAACGACACAGTTCCATTTAAAGCCGCCTGGTAATACGCCCTCAACACTTTTCCTGTGTCCCTCGTTGTACAGATACTGAGAATGCCGTTTGTCGAATGGACATCTTGATGTTACCTTCTCATGTTTTGCCTTGTTGTATGTGCACATTTCTATGTCAATGCTTGAACAGTTGGAGAGCCTTTCGTTGCAACAGATAACCTGTGTCTAATAAATTTTTCACAAGCACAATCATGACTTGAAAATAATTATTAAAAAAAAAAAAAAGGGTAACAGTGGTACTCTTACGAGCTCTGTTACAGGCCATCCCAGTGTTTAGGGGTTCCAATTCTCATGGATATTAATTTAGAAGCGAAACAATTACTTGGGCTTCCCTATCAACCCCGGGCTAGAGATGGGTACCAGGAAATGCTCTTCAATCTAGCAGGCTGGCCTGATAGTGACCACACCAAAGACGTGTATAAAAATGGAGAGCTACCATCATTTACATTACACGCAACAATGACAGAAACTGATTCTGTACATGTTTTTTATAATTTCAATTTATTTTAACTATAAATATCACAAAAGAAGAAGTAGTTTTACATGTCGTGGGAGGGGGGAGGGAAGTATGAGAGGGGGAGGGGGAGGGGTTAGTGTGGTAGTCAAATACAGAAGTTTTGAAGAAACTGAGCATTAAAAAAAAAAGAGAGTTGCATAAAGAAATAAACAAGAGACAATTCGAAATAATTCGATCACATTAATAGACAACGTTCTTTTAAAAACTCACTGAAGAGGAAACAAACCCAAATTCTTTCATCTCCTTCTTTCGACGCTTCGGGTCTTGATTGAGATATATAAGGTTCTGCTTCTTGCACTTCTGACTGCTTCGACCATACTCACATCGCGCTGTTGTAGAGCTTCTCTGATGTTATCTTTCCAGCTCCTTCTTGTTCTGCCTTGTTCTCTACGCCTGTCTCTTCTTTTGGTGTATGCCTTAAATGGTATGGCGTAGCAAGGCATTCTCTCTGATTGGGTAAAACCATTTGATTTGCTGTCTTTTTGTCTTTGTTTGTAATTTAGAATTGGTTGTGTGCCGACATTTCTTTCATGACCTCTTTTATGATTCTGTCTCTTGTGGTCACTCCTGCTGCCGTTCTCAGACATCTCATTTCCATTTTTGCTGGTTACCACGTGTCTGGCACTGGTAGTATTGAGTGGTGACAAATATGCCGTGTGTGAGATGTTTCTTTGTGCTGATGGTGATTTTGGGCTATCCTTTGAATAACGGGCACATATTATGGTGGCCGCAAAAACACCCTAACAGGGCCTCAGTCACGTGTCAATTGCGCACTTCCGTCGACCTAATTTGCGGTTTTAGGACGACTACCGCCACCGCCAAGATTGGGGCTAAACTAGATTGCTAAGACTCACCAGCAGCAGCTTCCGCATCTCCTGCAGGTTTGCTCGTGAGTCCTAGCCAGTCCACGCCGCGTGAGCGAATTAGGTCGTGACTGAGGCCCTGTTTTTGGTCGCCATAATATCTGCCCGTTATTCAGAGGATAGCCTGATTTTTTTTATGCCGTAAGAGGTGCTAGCTGTCCCAATATTGTTTGGTTTGCTTTATTGCATCTGATATTCGTTTCTCATAAAATTTACCATCGTCGGTAAATGTTCCCAGATTTTTAAACTGTTTAGTTCCTATTTTAACTCCTATTAAAGACACACATTTCTTAGACAATTACCATTTCAGCTGATATGTGTGGCACAAGATGCCCCTCACGTGCGGCCCGAGACGCCTCTCGCGTGTGGCCCGAGATGTGTCTAACATCCTGTGTTCCCCGTTGTGTCGATAGCCCACTTTCTCTTCTTCCAGGCGCCATGGCTTGTAGTGTTGTCCTTTGTAAACGCCAATGGCCATCAAAATCGCTACTGGTTATTTTTTTTTCTTCCAAATCAGTATGCTGCTTAGGACAACGTTTTCTTTCACTTTCAGATCCTGCCGAATTTAATAAATTGTCTGCTTCTTGATTAGGTTAATTTTAATATATATATATATATATATATATATATATATATATATATATATATATATATATATATATATATATAAGACTTTTATTCACTCTTGCAATGCATTAAAGTTTTGTAGTACAAAGGAAAAAAACTGGGACAAATCACAAATCCATTATCTTTAAACATGTTAAATTCAAATTAGAATCGGTCATATATATATATATATATATATATATATATATATATATATATATATATAAAAGACTTTTATTCACTCCTTCAATGCATTAAAGTTTTGTAGTACAACAGAAAAACTGGGTTAATCTCAAATTCATTATCTTTAAACATGTTAAATTCAAATTAGAATCGGTCACCGAGCGAGCCAGATTATTTCCATTGTTTGCGCTGACTGCCCCAAAAACACCACAAGGATTTAAAATATATATATATATATATATATATATATATATATACAAACTACTGTCACGGAAATCTAACCCTGAATTCGGGAATCATGAAATTGTTAAAAGCATTCACTAACCCATCAGAGCCAGATTGTGCAACACATGATTATGTCTAATGAATTACGAACAAACTATATTTGTATACCACAGGCGGCTGAGGCTACTCCTTGCTTCCACTCTGAGACCGTCCCCGGGTATAATTCCTCCGAGCTGTGTAACCTCACAGACGTCAATGGATCGCCGTGGTTCTGTGGTCGTCCAGTCAAAATCCAACTGAACTGTTCAGACTACAGTGGGACTGTTATGCTGTATAAAACTGACAACATTCCTGGCACAGACGCTGAACTGGAAATATTTGCCCGTTCTTGCAGTTAAGTGCTCTGAATATTTAGTGTTTACCAGATTTTTATTAACACTGAATTTTTATGTCTAGTTTGCTTTCCTGAAACATCACACATTCTTATATTACAGACTTGACCTAATATATCGTAAATGTTATCAGATAATTCCTAGAACATTTTGGGAGTTTTGTGTGGGGAGGGGAGGGAAGGGGAATCCTATTCTACGTGGTCGCCTTTATGTCCCAGACTTTACCTGGTACCCATTTAAGGCTTGGTCTATCTAGGTCAGTTTCGGAAAAGATAAAAAAAGAAAGTCTAGCTAAGTCTGGATTAGAACCCACGACGTTTGGATCCATAGGCAAACATGTAGTCGCTGCACCACGGTGGCTCCCTAGAGTACACGGGTTTTTAGTAAAACTCAAATTCGTTTGGATCAGAACCCACGACCTTTTGATCCATAGGTGAGCATGTAGTCGCTACACCATGGTGGCTCCATAAAGTACACGTTGGTTTTTAGTAAAAGTCAAATTCTGCCAAACGGCAAAAGGTGAACTAGCTCAGCCTCTTACGACATACACATGACCAAACCAGATAGGAACGAATTCGGGAATACACTGGATGACACAAGGGCACAGTAATAAGGAGAATGAACCAGACGGATGATGACCCATGAGGAAAAAGCATCAGAAAGGAAATGATAAGAGGAACATACTGGGACACAGACAGCAAGAAGCGGTCGAGCTATTAGGATATCAAGCCAGAGAGATGGCACACATACTACAAACATAGCCACGCTAGTGGTGTAAATAGCCCGGACCAAAAATGTAACCGGAGACTGTTGTCAGCTTGCATGTTGAACATGGTCGAGATTAGACTCGAACTCTAAAATGGCAACAGGGCAAAAACCACTTTTAGGAATGTACATTCCTCGTGGTTTGAAGGTTGAATGTTGGAATTCTATTGCGAGCTCGCTTCTCCCGTTCGCGAGTGTAAGTCTCTCAATGAGAACTTAGACCCCTTTAAAATACTGCGATGAGTCGGGGGGGGGGGGGGGCTTTGGGAGGGGGTGCTCATGGGGCTTTAGGTTCTGGCGCTGTGATGCCAGCAACTTGTTTCGCCTAATGTATTATCATCATGTTCGTCATCATCCATATGTGTCTCATAGAATTGCGACCTATTCCTAACTCCGTTCTGTCTTGTGCTATCCCTTACATATCATGGATGGAATCCAATCAAGCATCTACGGCCTCTCTCACTGTCTATAAATGTATTATTTCTCTTAGAGGCTGATGTTTTCTAAATCTATTTGTTCCCCATTTTAGTGCCTGCTGGATGCTTTTCCTATTTTTTTTTTTTTTTTAGCCTTCTCGATTAACTACCTGATAAAGTAGCCTTCCCGGTAGACTTGAGATATTTTATGAGCCACTCCATGCGCCGTTTGGTTTTCTATGCGTAAAAAAAAAAAATATTTTGGAAGCATGGTATCACAACATGACCACATTCAGAATTTATATAATGGGAGAGATCTGCTTTAATGGTCATGTTTCGTAAAGGCCAGGCTTTATGTTTTTTCTGCGAGAAAAAGTGCAGGTACTCACTACACAGTTTCTTAAAAAGGTGCCGGTACTCACTACACAGTTTCTTAAAAAAGGTGCCGGTACTCACTACACAGTTTCTTAAAAAAGGTGCAGGTACTCACTACACAGTTTCTTAAAAAAGGTGCCGGTACTCACTACACAGTTTCTTAAAATTGGTCCCGGTACTAACCACAAATTGTCTATTAAAGTAGTGCCGCACAACTATTTCCTAAAAAGGTGCCAGTACTGCCAACCACCAGCAAAAGCCTTGTTTGAACTCTGTGGTCTACACGGGATAGTAATATCGAAACCTGATGATTTTTCAGAAGTTTACCTGAAAACATATCTGGAAGAAAAGGCGGCGAGAAATGAAAATACCTTCGTACACTAAGATTTGTAAAGTAAAATGTTCCCTAGGAAAGCAGCGTGGCGAAGCTGCCAGACGTTTGCTTATCAACTAGACAGTTTTGGATTCGAATCCGCATCGAGTCGGATTTTTCTTTCCAAAATTGACCATTGTTCTCTGGTTGATACACACTAAAATATGCACCAGCTAATGTTCGGGGAAGTAAAGGCGGTTGGCATTATGTATACATAACACACCGATTGATCTATACAATAAGTCTACCATCATATAATCGAAGCGCCTTAGGTTTAAAAAAAAATGGAGTTTTCTTCCTCACTTTTGAATAATCCAAAGCTCACCGGATGTATCTACTTTTCTTCTCAACCATATATTAACATTATTATTATATAAATACTTTCCCTAACAAAATATATTTTATGATTAAATAATGTATGTACATATGCGATGCAATGATAAATGTTAATTATTTGTTCCAACTTTACAGAGAGCCAAAGATAAGAAAAATTCCCAGTAATTTTCAGATAAATGTATTACCGGGTAAGTATTCAAATCTCTGTAGTTTTTGTGAATATCTATTTCTTGTCTGATCTAGATCTTCTTAAAGTGATATTCTTAAACTGGGATTATTCGAAGAAAGGCAACGAAATAAGATAACTGTCTTGACAACAGTTGATATCAACAAAGAAGGCGATATTTTTAGCAGACAGTGAAGAGACATGGAATAGAGATAACAAAAGTCACGCACTGAAATGGGGAAAAAAAATAGTTTACGTGACTATATGTAACCCCTATCTTTTCTCCAGGCCAAGCCAGCGTTGTGGGTAATGAACAGGCAGACAGATTGGCTGGATCTGCACCACTGGTTGGTAAACTGATACATGACAAGGCAGATGTGGTCAAGGCCCTTTGGGAACAAGCACCGGAATCAGTGGAGATAGAAGATTATTATGGCTTGGAGAGAATGAGGCACCTGGGTGTAACCAGAGGGTCTGGCCGGCTTACTACACTCAGAGGAAAGGCAAGACACATATAACCAGATTGTAACCGGTACCATCAGTATTGGAAATCTGCGCTGGCTGCTGAAGATAATGACAGAGCACGCATGGGAATGCCCTGAGTGATGTGATGTCAATTCTTAACTCAACTCAAATGTAACATCTAGACCTTATTTGATGTGAGAGATCAAAGTTGCTGGAATGGAAAACGTTGCGTAGGATAGAACGGGGTAGGAAATGGACAACGATCCTTAGAAGACGTATCTTTTTCTTCTGTGCTTACCAGTGTTGCCACTTTTCTTTGACAGAAAACATCTAGAACCGGGTCAAAAATATCTTTCCAATTTCTTTTAATACACAATCAGGGAGCTGATAAGTTGAACAGCATTTTCCTACTCTAATCAGGCCAAATTCTATAGATAAGATAGCATTTAAGAGATCAAGTTTTATCCTATTTCTCAGGTTAGATTTGATATAATTCATAGCACTAAAAAACTCCTTCTACGTCAGCATTTGTATGGGGTAGTATCATGACAGACATGGCACATTCAAAGAGCTTACAGACAGGACTGTTTGATGAGGCATCTTTAAATTGTATATTTTCACTCCAATACGCTTCATTTTCTGTTTTGTTTGTCCAGTCAACCAAGTCTCATTAATGACAGGGCGAAGTGCGGGTGTTTTGCAATCTGACATAATTTTCATTGATGCGAAACCATCATTTAATGCTTTATATAAGTTATTGTATTGCTATTTGACAGATGATTTGGAAACCAGTTATTGTTTCAGCAAAAATGTATTCCAAATTCCTGGGTAAACATTCAGATGAAGCTTCTGATGAGGCTAGCTTTTTTCCCCCACGTGCAACTCTAATTTCTTTTCTGAGCTATCCCTAGATTGTTATAACTCTCAAGAAAACATTCCGTCTAACAAAACAGAAAAATTTCTTTAACTTATTTAAGATCATTATAATTTAAATAAATTTCTGCACTGAATTAGGACAGCACAGTATTGTGGCAACGTTACCTTGCAGCAAAGTGTTGCCACAGCTTACCTGGTCACAAGAAATCCCTACAGGATACATGTCCAACAAAACATGGCATTTTCGGATTTGTAATTACACAAAACCAGACTACAAGACGTGCTTCATAAATAAGCAGGTAACACGATCTAATTGTGCATTTTTTTTTAGATTTGGTTATATTCTTGTATTAAGTTCGTTCATAAAATAGTGGTTTGAACAACGTGTTATTTACATCTACCCTGCGAAATCCGCGCCTTTTTGTCTCAGTTCATCTGATTTCCGTAAATTTATAGGTATTCGTTTTGTGTGTGTGCGTGTGTGTGTGTGTGTGCGTGTGTGTTTTTAACGGGCATTGGGTCAGGACAGACTCGATAAGTCTAGTTTTGTCTAATGTGTGGAGGACTTACCTATCGAGACCATGCTCAGGGTTCAGTAGATAAAAGTAGTAGGAACTTTTTTTATCGACAAATCTGGACGCCAGCAGTAAAAAATATTTCACTGACAAGTCTGAACGCTGCCAGAAGTTAAGATCTTTTCCCGACAAGTTTTAACGCTGCAAGGAGTTAAGATGTTTTCACGACAAGTCCTAACGCTGTCAGGAGTGAAGATCTTTCCCCGACATGTCTAGGCTCTGTGGCATGTATTTCCGACAAACAAGTCTGAACGAAGAAGAAGAAGAAGAAGAAGAAGAAGAAGAAGAAGAAGAAGAAGAAGAAGAAGAAGAAAAAGAAGAAGAAGAAGAAGAAGAAGCATGCCTTTCTATCTACAAAACTGAGTTTGTGGAGAGACTTAACAATTTATAGTGAGTGAGATGTGAAACAAACAGGTTGAAATAGGACGTCTTTAAAAACATTTTGATAACTGAATAAATGTAATTCCTTTGTGTGTATATATATATATATATATATATATATATATATATATATATATATATATATATATATATATATATATATATATATATTTCTAGCCCATGCGGTGTGACAGGGCTTCTGTTTCCTATACTCCATTTAATGTTTGATATAGGCTTTCTTACATTTCCCTAAACCGTCCAGAAACTTTTCTGTTGGCCGTCCTCTATCTACCCCTCCAACTCTCCTCTTGTCACGGCATACTCCAGCTATTCCTCATCGTGAACTGTCACGCCCATTAGGTCCCTAATTTCCCTGTGTCCATAGTTGTGCTGGTCGCCGCCTGACTTTTTTTTTCTAGAGCCATGTCCCCTATTACTGTTGCAGTTATGCTAAATATATTATTATTGTAAGGGGTTTGATTGGTTGATATAATTAGGAAAATCCCTAACCGGCTTCACAAACGTTAGTCTCCCCAAACAAAGTAGGTCACGTTCCATTCATAAGTTTTTTGGGCTAGTGTACCTTCCTGCAGGTTAGGGGTGTGCCGCTCAGTTGTTTGCTTTCTGGGTAGTCTTGGATTTATGAGTTATTTTTTTTCCCCGAGAAAGAGAATGCCTGTGACATAGGTTTCATTACTCTCCAAAGGGGTTTTGTGTTAGACCCCGTTTATCGATGTTTTTGGAGTGTTAAGAGTGCTGGCATGCTGAAATATACAACACGCGATATCAACGGCATTGCGGGGAAACCCCCGGAACCTTGTGACAAGGTAACGTGGCTGAAGGTCGACCAATCAGAAGTGAGCTAGTGTGTAACACTGTGTAAATAAAGAGACTAACGTTCGTTTTACTCCTAGGCTGTAAAGCAGGAAGGAAGTCAACGTGAGAGAGTGAAAACATGCGACTGTGTGAATCGACTTTTGGAAGGAGGTGGGGGGGGGGGAGGGGGAGAGAAAAGAGATGAATAGCAAGGCATTTTGTGACAGGCCCAGAACTAGAAGGAGTGAAAGTGGATCATATACATCGATAGCTACGTTGATAGAAGGCTGAGATAAGACGACTCTCATGTATCCTACTGAGAGGTTATTGTGTGCACGTCATACAGCTTGGCTGTATGATTCAAAGTCTAACACGTAGAACCTTGTTGGAGGAAGTAAATGTCTTGCTGTAGATTCTCAGTAGACTGTTAGACTGCTGGACTGATTCTCGTAGCTCATGTGTTGTGATAAATAAACCTGACACTGTTACCAACTGGTGTTAACTGTGATGTGGAGACTTGCGACAGTTGACTGTGAAAAAGATCTGTCTCGCCTGATCTGTAAACTATACGCACACTACGCCTGAATGAATGGAAAAGCATCTTTTACTTTATATATATATATATATATATATATATATATATATATATATATATATATATATATATATATACATATATATCCCTAGGTATTGATCTTCGGTGACTCCAATGGCCGTAGTCACTACTATAATGTACAAGCACACTCTAACTGTACTGAAGTCAAGAAAGCAGAGACCAGACACTGGCACAAACCTCTCCTGTGTGAGCACAAAGCAAACAACTTTTCGGTATTCTGGGGTCCCCATGCCAATCCGTTTTCGAATGGAGTAAGTTGTTGCTAGTTCATATTCTTTCCATGATGTTCCCGGTTTTTTTAGGTATAAAACAGAGTGACAAGATCTAACTAACTCATTAGGCTTTTTGCCAACCTGTCATGTATTCACACATAAATAACTGATAAAAGCGATTAGTTAGCTAGTTAGTTTTTTTTTTTTTTTTTTTTTTTTTTTTTGTATTTTTTATTAATTTTATCATTATTTAGGAAATTAGTGTTTGAAAATTAAATTAAAGTAACTGGTTTATTGGTTTCTGTACCTGTGGCTGTGCGTGCGTGTGTATGTGAGTGTGCTTGTGTCTGTATGCGTCTGTTTTTGTGTGTCGTTTGTAGGTAGCTGTTTGTGCTGCTGCGTGTGTGTATGTGTGTCTGGGTGTGGAAATGCGTGTGTGTCTTTGAGTGCATGTGTTTGTAAGAATATACCTGTGTGTGTGACTGTGTGTGTATGAGTGTGTGAATGTATGTATGTATGTATGTATGTATGTATGTATGTATGTATGTATGTATGTATGCATGCATGTATGTATGTATGTATGTATGTATGTATGTATGTATGTATGTATGTATGTATGTATGTATGTATGTATGTATGTATGTATGTATGTATGTATGTATGTATGTATGTATGTATGTATGTATGTATGTATGTATGTATGTATGTATGTATGTATGTATGTATGTATGTATGTATGTATGTATGTATGTATGTATGTATGTAGATAGGTAGGTAGGTAGGTAGGTAGGTAGGTAGGTAGGTAGGTAGGTAGGTAGGTAGGTAGGTAGGTAGGTAGGTAGGTAGGTAGGTAGGTAGGTATGTATGTATGTATGAATGATGTATGTATGTATGTATGTATGTATGTATGTATGTATGGATGGATGGATGGATTAATGGATGGATGGATGGATGGATGGATGGATGGATGGATGGATGGATGGATGGATGGATGGATGGATGGATGGATGGGTGGGTGGGTGGATGGATGGATGGATGGATGGATGGATGGATGGATGGATGGATGGATGGATGGATGGATGGATGGATGGATGGATGGGTGTAATTATGTATGTGCGTGTACGTATTTATATATTTGTGTGTGTGTATGTCTGTGTATATGTAGGTAGGTATGTATGTAGGTATATGTCACATACCGCTAGTGTCGCGTGCCTGATTTAAGGATTTCTCCTTACAACCCAACAGCACTATGAAATAGAATAATGTTTAGGCGTCGGCTCGTATTGGTCTAAAGGGGATCCCGTGGCCAATATACGCCCAACCTATTTCAAGAGTAGGGCAACTCAAGTTATGGCACTGCAGAATATCTAATAATTCTAGGCGCAATAATTGGCTGGACACCCCTACTACTATAAAAAGATAGCTCCCAGGCTATGACAGTGTACTATCACAGCCATGTTAACACATATGAAAATTAATAATCACACAAACATAAAAGCTAGACAGTTTGAATAGTGAAACAGGGACACCCAAGTCAGTAATGAAAACTTCTGAATGGATGTAATAAATGCAACATATATATATATATATATATATATATATATATATATATATATATATATATATATATATATATATATATATATATATATATATATATATATATATATATATATATATATATATATATATATATATATATATATATATATATATATATATATATATATATATATATATATATATCCAGACAATCTTAGATGTTCACAGGCAAATGGCGCTTAGGCAGTAAATTCCAGAAAGCACCGCTGAATCAGCCAGAGTCAGTTCTTGAGAGTATCAGTGATCATCCTCGTGACTCCAGGTGGACCTGTAAAAAGAGCATGTGGTATGTCATCTCAGATGTTACTTATCAGTTTGGTAGGTCACTGCTCTCCTCAGTTCATGGTGATCTGAACAGGCTGACTCAGTAGACTGCTTCTCTTCTGGTTACTCTTGCAAACACTGACAGTTCATTCACTGGAACTAAATGATTGTGCTAGAGCTCAACAAAGCTCCTGAAGAACGATCCCTTGGAGTGTTGACACTGGGTGGCCTGCAACAACTGCCTCTTAGCAACTGGAACTCACACAAGCTCCTGTCATGTTGAAGTTGTGGTGGTAGGTGGCAGAATAGGTACTATTGGTGGATGGAGGTCGGTTGGACTGTGAATCGTTTGCCTGACTTCCAGGGACATATCATCCTGTATCAGGAAGGAACTTAGAATTAGTATTCATCTTAGGAGTCACATACCAAGCTCAATTTATTTCCCTCCACACTACCCAGTCACTCAGAGGATAGCTCTCAGGAAAATGAGACAAATCTCTCTTCCTTTATCTGGTCTGTCAGTCAGTACAAGAGATAGGAGACAGGGTCCTCAGTGGAGATAGTTAGACACTAATGGACATAGATTATCCTCTCTCCACCTTCCCATCCGCACTTGCAGACATACATTCTATCTAGTTCTTACATATATATTTTATACCTCCACAATCTGCCCCCTGCAAACACTGTGTTGTTGTGTCTGCTAAAAAAAATAACCTCTCTGCAGACACTTTTGCATTAGATAATGACATTGAAATCAGTTCAGAGAAAAAAACTAGAAATTTAAGAAAAGACACTATTCAGAAGTCAGAAAGAAATAACAGAGGCGCTAGAGGGGCCACTTACACTTAATGAACTGGAGTTGGCCATTTCAAAGCTGAAAATGCGGAAGTCACCAGGAGCAGATGGTATATCTAACGAAATGATCAAAAACTTATGAACAGTGGCCAAAACAAAGCTTTTACAGATATTTAACGCTTGCTGGGCAACAGGAAATGTTCCACAGATCTGGAGAGAGTCAATTATGATACCTCTTATAAAGCCTGGGAAAGACAGTTCCAATGCCTCCAACTACAGACCGATCAGCCTCACAAGCTGTCTCTGCAGAACAATGGAGCGCATCACCAACCTCAGACTACAGTGGTACATTGAAAGTGAAAACATCATTACACCACAGCAGGCGGGCTTTAGAAAGCTCTACTCTACGGAAGACCAGACAACATACCTCTCCCAAGAAATAGAGGATGCTTTTCAAGACAAGAAACTGGTAATCGCGGCATGGATAGATTTAACGAAAGCTTTTGACAAGGTTTGGAAGGAGTTGCTTTTGAAGAAATTGAGAAACTATAAAGTAAATGGAAGAATGTACAATTGGATTAAAGCATATCTACATAACAGAAGAGCCCGGGTACAGGTAGATTGTTTCAAAAGTGAAAAAAGTTCTACTGCGACATGGCGTCCCTCAAGGTGGTGTCCTGTCGCCCACACTTTTCCTCTTATTTATCAACGACCTGGTTACTGAAATACCAAATGGAATCAAAATGGCAATGTATGCCGACGACCTGGTACTGTGGTGCACCAATGAACATGCAACGATAGCCACAAGAACACTACAGCGGGCTACATATGCACTTGAGGCATGGGCGAATAGATGGTGTGTCAGCATCAATACAGACAAATGTAGCACCACACTCTTCACTCTTTCCCCAAAGCAAAAAGCGGGCATCATCAAAATAAACGGAATACCCCTAAGAGATGATAAAGAGCCCACGTACTTCGGAGACACATTTGATCACAGGTTGACATGGAGAAAACATATCAACAAGGCAGCAACCAAAGCCAGGAGGAAGACAGCCATACTAAGAAAACTAAGTGGCACCATATGGGGAGCAAGTGGGAAAATACTCAATAAAGTATACAAGCAGAGCATACTTCCACACTTGGAATATGGGTCAACTGCATGGTGCTCAGCATCTAGTACCACATTAAAGGAGTTGGACAAAGTGCAAAATCAAGCACTCAGAGTCATCACAGGGGGGATTGAAATCAACCCACATATTAGAAATGGAGAAAGCTGGGAAAACACAGGCACTGATACAAAGTTGCAAATACAAGCTGAAAAGTTCCTTAGTATGCAAGATCGCCCCATGAAAAATAGATTTCAGAACCTAGCCTTGGGACGGTTTAAAAAAAAAGCAGCTTTATACATCAAGCAAAAAAGAATATGTAGACAAACTGCTGACCTTCCAGAAATTGGTTGTCCACTTAACAGTATTCCAGAACAAACCCCATAGAGAGAGAAATGCAAATTAACAGTACAAATCCAGACAAATGTGAAAGGAATATATGACAAGAAAAAATAAGATAGTGTACAACGCAGAATGGCCATCCTCAGTTATATTGATGAAGAATACCCACAAGAACAATGGGTCAGAGTCTATACAGATGGGTCCGCAGAAAGTGCAGTTAGAAATGGTGGTGCTGGAGTGTACATAGAATTCCCAGATGGTACTAGGGATAAGTCCAGCGTACCAACCGGAAAGTACTGTCATAACTTTGATGCAGAAACTTAGGCTATCAAGATAGCAACAGAGAAACTGCTAAATACCAATCTTGGCTCCCAGTGTGTAGTAATGCTGACAGATGCAAAATCAGTACCCGAAGCACCCCAGTCTAGAAAACTGCCAGAATTGCAAACACTGCTGACACAACTTAGCCTTCAGCAAAGAGTGATAATGCAGTGGATACCATCACATTGTGGAGTGTCTGGAAATGAGAAAGCTTATCAACTGGCAGGAGAAGGTGCGACCAAAATGCAGCCGAATGTACCAGTCACATACCACCAAAAGAAAAGAATCGTTGAATCAATCAGGAAACCACCAGCCCCAGCACAAGATGACTATTTTATTTTGGACAGATCAGAACAAGTCATTATCGTCCGCCTCAGAGCAGGGCACAACCGATTACGTAACCACATGTACACAAAATTCAAGATAGGCGTATCAGCCATGTGCACCTGTGGAAAGGTGCCCCAGACAGCAGAGCATGTACTCCAGTACTGCACAGAATTTGACACATTAAGGCAAACCTTTGGCCAGAGGGAACAACAGTGGAACGTAAACTCTATGGACCACTGAATGAATTAACAACAACAGTGAAATTTATACAAGAGACAA